AAAAAATTTATTAAATAATATAAAATGAGAAATTTGATTCCTACACATTTATGTGTTATGTGTGTTTTGGGGAAGAGAGGGTACATTCTCATTTAAGATCCATAAGGATACATTAGTTATCTATAGGCTTAATTTTATTTTTAATTTGCATATTTAAATTTATGTGTTATTTAAATTTTGTTCACTCGTATGATCATATTTAGTTTTTATAATTCTATAATTGTTTAAGTTAATTTTTTTATTATAAATTTTATATAATAATTAATATAAATATATTATTGACTTATTTAAAGCCCAAAATATAAAATAAAAATAAAATATTTTTATAATACTTTATACATATTGTTTATTATTTTTATTTAAATGTTTTTATTAATTTATACAAATAATAAAATGATACGCTTCTATCGTATTTTTGTTAATTACTTTATGAGATTTTGATGTGAGAGAGTTAGCTCAAAAATTAAAAAAATAAATATTAAATAAAAAATTAAAATTAAAAAAATTACATATAAGTGAAAATATAATTAAACATATATATAAAAATCTAACATAAGAAATTGATAAAACTTTTCTTAAGTTAAAAATAATTTATCTTCTTACATTTATATTAAATATGAGAATTTTTAAAAAAATAAAAAAAGTATAAGTAAATTTAGTTACTGTTTAAAGTTATTAATCATTATTTTATTTCTTATAATATTTTTGTTTTAATTTAAATTTTAAAAAATAGTGATAAAAAGTTACAAAGAGGCAAATTAAATATAAAAAAATATGCAGTAACAACTACTAATATTTTTTTTTCATTTTATAAGTAATAAATATTTATTTTTACATGTATCAATTGTTAACTGTTTATATTTTACTTATTATAAAAAGATATATATATTAATAAGACATAAATTTATTATTCATACAAGTGAATATATTTATTTATTTGATATTTATATAATAATTTAATTATTTAATAACATAAATATTTCTAAAATATATAATAAATTTTTGACGTATAATATTTTTTTATTAATGAGATTAGTATCATATATGCTTAAATAACATGAAAAAGAAATATAAAATGGTGTCACTTTATTTGGTGGAGATTCCTTGCTTTGGGTGCTGAGACCTTCCCTGAAGAGTTGACCTTTGCAACTTGCCACCATAACCATACCTCATTAAATATTTTGCAGTAGTGGGATCAAAATAACCATAGAACGCGACATTTATTGTATCCTCTTTTATGCAATAACTTTGCTCTCTCAAGTCTCAACACCCAATACACCATCAACACATATTTTCTTTTGCTTCCAACTACCCAATGGATACTCTACACTTACACTGAACCTCATCATTGATTAAATTGATCTTCGATGTGACTAACACAAAGCATATCTTATTCTAATTAAAATGTTGCAATTATTATAAGATTGATTTTATATGAACCAAATCAATTGACATATGTTGTAGAAACACTAGACTGGTTCTGAACCAAGTTACATGTGCATCGAATAAAGATACTGACACTATACTTCTCTTACTTGTACAGGTGAACTTTATGCCAATAATCTTCTACGTATTTTTGTGACTTTTTCGCTGTTATTTGTCAGTGCATATATCACTGCTTATATGACAAATGTCACCACTCATTGTATATCCTAAATAATAATTGTATATCACTGCTTATTTTAATTTCTTCACCGTATCATTTGTTTAGCTCATTTTTTATTTTTTTATTGAATTGGAAAATTGTTTATAAAATTTTATTATATAAGTAACATTTCTTGAAAGATAGTTTTTTAATTTGATTAGTACAAACTGCATAAGAAAAGTTGGATACAGAGCTGAGTCATTAAAAAGGAAAAATTCTTCTGTCTGTCTTGAGGATTCTCCAATTTATACACTTCTTTTGGGTTTGTGTAAACACTTGGATTAATTTGTGAATCTTTAATATTCTACAGATGGAGTAAATATTACAATTTTAGTAAAAAAAAAATCAATTTTAAATATTTGAATAACAGTACTCCAATCACATTTGATTTGATTCTTGAGTGGGGATCTCTAATTCTGTCTATTTAGTTGAATTTAACTAGCAAATAAGCATGCTAATTTCAAACTTCAAAATAACACTGTCGGGGCACGTGTTGTTAATATATAACGTGTACGCACGTTCAAATACAACATGACTAGAAGACTGGGATCTATCATCTACAGAGGCATTAGAACTCGCAATTGTAATTGGAAAAAATGAAATTATATAATAACATGGTTTAGAAATTGGAACTTACAAGCTAGAAAGAAGTTCATCTACCTAATCATGTGATTTAGAGAGTCCCATCATCAAACCATAGGTAATTTTTAGGTAGGGACAGAAAGTTGCCTATCAACTTTGGCTTGTAGCACGTTAAACTCAGTTTTGTTGACACCCAAAAAAAGTTAACTCCCATATTAAGCAAATATGCATTATTAAGATAAGTGCATTGCACCATATGGGTATTATCTTCTTAATCAATAATAATGAATCAAAAAGTTATGTATGCTTTGCTAAAGAGAGATTTAATTATCGTATGATAGGGATGTTTCTATATGCAGAATTTGACACAGACAAATCATCTTTTAGAATAACTATGTGTTTTAATTAGCTTATTTATGGGTTTAATTTTCAAAATATTACCAGACATGCAATTATATAATTAGATACTCCCCGATGTGGGACAGCGTTTGAGCATTTAATTGTGAGAGAATGTTAATTGTTTTTATTGAGGCACATGAAAATGCTAAGATTACTATTGATAAAGACGGGAGAATAGGAAAAGAATCTTTCTGTACTACCAACCTTATCATTGGTGTTACGGGAGAATTTTGGGTAAAAACATTACATCTAAATCTTATCCATCTATAATTGTAGCTGTATCATATACATATTAAATTGTACAAATGTTAATAATAATAATAATAATAATTCCTTAGATTAATTTTTAAAATAAAGGATTCATTAATCAAGAAACACCAAACACGCACAAAATATTATCATATCATGATAAATATAATATACTTAACAATAATTCTGTAGTGCATGATTATGATTATAGAAATATATATAATCAATAGTCATTGGAAGTGTTTGATGTATATCATATCCAGAAGGAAAAGAAAAAAACAATGTAATGTATTAACAAAATTTAGAAATTTCTAGTAACCTTAAAATGAGATGAAGTTTGTAATTTTTAATTCAAGAAAACAAAGAAAAAAAGAATTTCTCTCATTCATTCTCCTATATTATAGCTTCATGTGTAAGCATATCTGATTAAGCAGATATTTTTTTCTTACTTTTTCTTTTATATATTAGATCAGATTATGTAAAGTTCAAGGAAAAAATCCAACTCCCTTTAACATGTATACCAAATAAACTTATTTAAATATAAATCCAAACAATATTAATAATGCAAAACTCAAATATTAGAGTTTTCACTAACAAATTTCTCTTTTGCCATGCAAAGAAACAACAACATACACATTTGTTCCTACTAACATCTTTTAATATATACTGTTCTCCCTTGATCCCTTGAGTAAATGAAATAAATGATCCTAGATTGATTAATGTGGTAGCACCTAATGAAGGAAAACTGAGCCAAAAAAAAATTAATTGTGTATAGTGAAAAGTATAGGAAAGATGCAGTCCAAATAAAATAATTTTTATAAAGTAAATAAAAAGGGGAAGAAAGAAAATTGAAATTTGTAAAGCGTTGTGTGCATTGCATTTGGAATCAAAGTTGGGAAAGATGACCAAATTCATACAGTGGATTACTGTTGCATTTAGTGGGGGAATTGATACAATTCCTGATGAGCTTCACAAAATATCCCTGTTTTTAAGGGGCAATTAAGGGTCAAGGACCAGCCCATGCCTCGGTAGTTAGGAGCACCATGGGTAGCCCCTATGGGCCCCCCCCCCCCCCCCCCCCACCCTCCCTACCAAAACAAGATTAGTGACTTCATCAATCACCAAAATCCAAAACATAACCCATGAGTGGACCCAACACACAAGTAATAAATTAAATAAGGGGTTACCAAAAACAAAAACTCACCCATAATGTGAGGGGTGGTAGACACAACACCCTGTCCCTCTTTCTAATCTTTATCCTTCTCTTTATTATTTAAATATTTTACTGAATATCATTCAATTAATTAATTAATATTAAAGTTATCTACTTGCCTTAAAAGGAAAGAGCCTACAAATATTTCCAAGATCGCATGCAGTCCGATTATTGTATAAAATATAGCTAGTTAGATTATATACTATCAAATGAGATGATGATCTTTAAAAAGTAGGATTAGGATTCTCCCAACCCACGTCTCTAACAAGGAAACCACCCTCAATTTTGGCATAAAAGCCAAAACAGCATATTTGCTGGTTGACTCAGTTCTTGATTAAAGAGAATAATTAAATGGATAATAAGGTTTCTTTTGTAATCATTTGCCACATCATCATCCCTAAAGTACATTCTTTTCCTTAACATACTTATATTACCAAAACAAACTACTTTCGCTCCTTAACATAATATGATTTGTTTATGCTTCTTCGATTATCTTTCCACTTAGAATAACATTTGTCAATTATAAACCGCCCTTAATACCTTCTAAACTCTAGCGACGTAGCAACACTTTCTGCCTCTATCCCTCGGACACAAGACATGATGAAAACAATAATTACTTATTCCATGTCTGACCGGAGAAAGAGAAAAAGTGCACAATGCTTAACCATCATCATCTTCTTAACAAAAGAAATAAAACACTTGAATAATAACACTGCCAAGTTCCCCGTTTTTCACACACACACACACACACACACTCATAAGCAAATCCAATCCCAAAGGCCAAAAAGTGAGAGCAAGGAGAATAAAAGCTAAGCCAGCTAGTTAGCCATGCCAGTAGAGGGAAAAAGAAGAAACGAACAAAAAATTAAAACTAACATTGAGTTTGAACTAATAGCAGAAGCACTAAAACTAAATACTAAACATTTAATTATAATTAAGCCACAGAATCAACAAAAGGAAAGTTATGAACCCAGAAAAATAAATTCCCTGCGGATATCAACATCAACATCTCTCCCATGTTAACAAAGGTAATCGATCATCTCCATCATCTCATTAATTAACAAAAACTAAACAATTAAATCAAAATAAAACCAAAAAAAAAACGACTAATTAAGTAATTAACCGGTACCACCTCTTAATTACTTACTCTATCTAAACATATCATTATTCTCTCTCTCTCTCTCTCTCTCTCTCTCTCTCTCTCTCTCACTCTCAGTTTTTTTTTTCTCCCATTAAAAGATCAAGAAGAAGAAGAAGACCCATTAGTACCAACGTTAGTCCCACTATCATTCTCGTACTGATTCGGATCCTGGGAACCGAGGTTGATGTTGTTATGGTTATCGTTGTTCTCCTCTTCATCGTTACCGTTACCGTTACCGTTAATTCCGCCGTTAATAGTGCTGCCATGTTCGAGAACATTTGGAGCGGTGCCGTTGGCGTTAACGTTACCGTTATCTCTCTTCCCAAAAGTGTTCTTGTTGTTGTGCATCCAAACCTTGAGGACCCCTCTATCCACACCAACCTCATTGCAAAACTCCATAACCATTTCTTCATCTCTCTTCTGCATCTTCCACCCCACTTTCTCAGCGAACTCGTGCATCTTCTCCTTCTGCTCCTGCGTGAACTTCGTCCTGAACCGTTTCCGGGAGTGAGAACCCATCGCCGGCGCGGCGGTGTTTTCTGGCGGGATGGGGAGCCCGCCGCCGGAGAGGGCGAGGAGCATGTGGGGTGCTGATGGGTAGGACGAAATCGGCGGCGGAGACGCGGAATTGGGGCTCCGATAAGGCGGCGGTGGCGGCGGAGGGTGGTGGCGGTGGTGGGGCTGGTACTCCAGCACATGATGGGTCACCGGAGAAATGGGTGGTTCATCCGGTTCCCGGCGGTGGAAGTTCCGGTGGCAGCCACAGGCGGCACATTTGATGGAACTTGGGTCGTCGGCGGTGGCTGCCGGCGAGGGCATGAACTCGCCGCAACCGTCCAAGGCGTGGCCACCTAAGCTTGCGACGTGGTTCTTCAAGCATTCCTTGTAGGTGACAGTGATGGGTTGGTTTGCATGGTGGTGGGGGTTGTGGTGTTGGAGAGGGTGGTGGCGCTTTAAGACTCCATTGGAAAAAGATAAGGGCTTTGTGTTTGTGGATCCGGGTTGGTGGATCCGGGTCGGAGTCTCGGATTCAGGTTCTGGCGACTTTGCACCTGTTGGGGTGTTGGCGTTGGTGGTGTTGATGTTGGTGTTGGCGTTTGTTATTATCTCCATGCTTCTAATAATTAACCCAAAACCTTTCCTTTTTGTGACACCATGAAACTGCTTCCGAAATTGAGAAATGAATGGTTAGGTGGTGTGTGTTTGTGTGTGTGTTTTATGTTTAGAGCTAAGAAGAAGAAATATTTAAGGGAAACAAAAAAAAAGGGTTACTTTTATTTTGGGGTGTATGGTTAAGGAGGATGAGGAAGAGAAGAAGAAAGATGAAGAGAAAACAGAAGAAAAGAGAGAAGATGTTGATGATGTTCAGTGACGACTGTTGAAAAATCCGGGTTATGTGGTTGTCCCTTCTTAACCAGTCGTTTTTTTAACCCTGGTTCTAATCCATGGTTAAGTTATTGACCCTACTTGGGGGTTAGATGTGAGTAATAAATATACCCTCCTTTCTCCTACGCTACTATTTATTACCTCTGCTTATTAATATTATTATTTGTTATTACTAATACACTTAAATAAAAATGAATTATGGTTTAGTAATAAGGAAGGTTTGCGATTGTGAATGAAATAATGAACGATGAGTGGATGAAGAACACTAGTGAGTTGACCGAGTTGGAATGGCCTGAGAAATTTTGAGCCCACTCACTGTAACCCATGTTAATTTGTCAAGCTGGCAACGAAGGACAGCTTTCGCAGTTAAATCATTATTGTGGCTTATTTGAGGGAAGCCAAATGCATATGTTGTAAATGTAAATGCGATGCGACATCAACGCCCTTTATTTCAATTAGGCATATTTACTTTTCTTTTCTACTTTTTCTAAAACACAATACCAAACTAAACTACACTTTGGTTAATGGCTCCATTAAAATACAAAATGTAATCCACATCTTCTCTCTCTACACCTTCTCGCTCTTCTATCACAACTGCATGAGAAAGGGTAGTGGCAAGTTGCGTAATTTCAAGCAAAAGGAGGTGGATGTACCACAAACTTTTTCCTCCAAAAATTGAAAGGTGTCTTTGTCGGCACCGGAGGTTTTCCAAACACCGTGCAATTTGAAACGCCGTGCCTCCTCTCTCTTACTTCGCAACATTATTCTATAATATTAAACTATAATGAAACAAATTCATTCCCTTATTACTATTTGGTTATTTATAATAATATTAAAAATATCCAAATAATTAATAAATCTGCTCATTTAATTTTTTATACTTTTAATTATTTTATTCACAAATGTGTTATCATATTTTTAATAATTTATTTATAAGATAATAAATAATGTCATTTTAATGACTCGAGCATAAATTAGTGAACCGTAAATTAGTGAACCGTGAAAGCATTTTTATTTTGTTGGGACAGAAATACCCTTGAGAGTTGGGGAATATTACGGGGCGTTGCATGAACCGGCATTGCTCTTCAACCATAGTTTGTAATCACAATTAAGCCAAATCACCCAACACGTGTTAAACGAGAGCCACGTGGCGACACGTGTGAGTCAGCCATGCAGGATGAAAGTCAAAGTTACGAAAGTAAATACATTAAAGAATAGTAACGAAATAATTAAGTAATTAATTGAGAGCTAAAAAAATCAATAAAAAGAGGAAAACGGGGTCCGTTACGGAGCAGTTTAAACTTTAAGGAGGGCACTGAGTTTGTTGACAGCAAATCAATCACACAATGAAAAGGAAGTAAAAGCGTAAAACAAAGACCATAGATTCAAGACACTGATATATAGTATTAATTTAATTACTAAAATTATAATTATTTATTAGAAATTAATCATTTAAATTTTTAAAATTATGTGTGTGTTAATCTAATTTATAAAATTTAATCATTTGAATTATAAAATAATAACTATTTTAATCTTTAAAATTATAAGTGTCGTTAAATTCAATGATAAATTTATAAGTATCATTCAATTTAATTCTTAAAATTATGAAATCAAATTTTTTATACATTAAAAATTAAATATTTTAATTCTTAAAATTATAAACACTTAGCGATTGAATTTTTAAAATTATTATAAAAAGTATAATTTCTCTAACTATTTAAAAAAAAAAACTTGTCTAGCAAAGTGTTAGATATAATAAATTAATGGTTCGCGTGATATATACACTGTTATCAATGTCATTAAATAACATATTTTATTTATTATAATAAATTAAAAATAATTTTTTATCACAAAGTGAAAAAAATAAACTAAAGTATATTTTTTTTTGTTTTATCATAAAATAAAATTGTATTATTTAATAACATAATTAGTCATGTAAGTATGTATTCACGATTAAGTTGTCATCTTTAGCATATTATCACACGCATTAGACAAATAAATAAATGAATGAATTAAGTATAATTTTTAATAAGTTTAAAAACTGTATTTTTTTCTCATATCTTTAATCTCTAAATTGATATATTTTAAGAGTTAAACTGATTGTTTTTTAAAGTCTGAAAAATATATTTCATAATTTTAAGGATTACATTAATAATGTTTATAATTTTAAGAATTAAACTTAATAGTTTTTAGAATTTTAAAAGCTCAAAATATAATTTTAAGAATTATTTATTTTTTATAAATTTAAGTATTAAATTAAAAAATATATAAAATAATTTATTTCTAAATTTTAGAGACTAAAATTTTATATTTTTAATAATTTCAAAAAAAAATTATTTTATATAAAATTATTTTTTTATAACTTTAGAGACTTAAAATGATGCATTATTTATTAAACTTATGAATTTTATTACACTTCAATTTTCTCAATATGTGTTTAATATATATATATATATATATATATATATATATATATATAATTTTTATACATATTAATTAAATTATGATTGTTATACTTTTAATAAATGATATTCTTTCATAAATTTTTAATTTTATTAACATGTACTGTAAATTAAAAACTATAAATCTATCCCTACACTGCACAAGTAAGTTTAAACTTAAATTAAATATATAAATAAAAATAAATTTCAAACAACCATACAGGTTTCTATTCTGAATATGAATATTTTATTATTATATTTATTTTTAATTTTTATATAAAAATATTTAATTATTATACTAATTAATATGGATCAGTGAGAAAAGGCTAAGTATTTTAAACAAATAAAAGCACATTCTTTAACTAAACACAATTTGATTATTAAAAGTAAAATAAAAAAACATTTTTATTTTATAAAATTATAACTAATAATTAATAAAATAAAATTATTAAAATATTAAATAAATATATTGAATAATAATAAACAATAGAAATAAAATTATTTAATAAACATCGTAATAATATCAAATTTAAATTTATCTTAAAAGGGTATCTTTATTTTTTAATAAGTTGAAAGAAAAATATCTTTAATTTAATACAACATATTAGGATTAAATTTATATTTAAATTAAAAATTATATGTAAAATGAAATGAAAATACAATATATATATATATATATATATATATATATATATTTGTTACTCGCCAAAAAATATATCTTAACAAAAACAAAAATAAATCTTAATTTTTACTTTAAATTTAGGAAAAAAAAAAACTTTTGGAGAAAGAATTGTTGTGCTTTGGGTGACGCCAGCAAACCAATCATGAAGTAGATCGGATTTAAACGATTGGATAACGTGTAAATCAAGCGTTGCGTAGAAACTCACGATTGATGATCCTACAGCATATTAAACTCATCATTATAAAAATTAAAAAGAAAATTTAAAACTAAGTTAAAATGTATAATATTTGACAAAAATTATATTTTGATCTTTTAATTTCATATTCCCATATTTTGTATAATTTTTCAATTTCATTCATTATCTTCTATTTTAAAATTTTCATTTTCAAACATCAATTAAACTGATGTTTTTGTTAATTATATTTAAATGTATTCCTTCTTCTCTTTTATATCAAATGTTATTAGACCATTATCTTAGATTATTTGTTCCATTAAATTATAAAGAAAGTATTAATTTTTGTAATAAAACCGTTATTTATTAAAGATAATTTTTATCAACTATATACTAAAATAACTAAAATTAATTGCTACTTAATTAGATTAGTGACTTTAATTATTTTAAATAAAATAGTTTGATAAAATCAACTTACTTAATATGATAAGTAGTAAAGAAGTATTTTTTTTAAACATGTACATTAATATTAAATATAAGAAAAAAATTATTTTTTGTTTTTTATTTATTGTTTTTGTCATCATTATTATTATTTTTCTTTGCACCAGTTCTTAATTGATTGATGTAGTTAACAAAAACATAACTTATTTAACATATATTTAAATTAGACAATTAAAAATTAAAAAATAAAAAATAAAGTTTGAAATGAAATTAAAATAAAAAATGGTGTATTAATTTCCGATTTTGAATGACAAAAGTTGATTATATTTTAAAAATATTAATTAAAAATATAAATTATTTTTATTATAATTTTAACACACTGTTAAAGTATTTTGTATTAATATCTTTAATGCAGAAAAAAAAGTTGTGTGTATATCTTTTTTTATAAGTTTTATTATTTATAGCATGATAATTTTACTTTCAATTAATATTATTAAATTTAATTCAATTATCAATATTTTTTAATTAATTTAAATTTGTACTTACTTTATTTATTGAGGATAATCGGAGAAAAATTGATAAATATTTAATGAAAATTATAAATTATTTTATTAGGAATTATCAAACAGCGTCAACTCGTTTTGTTTTTTAGCATTTTTTTTCTTCTAAACTTTTAAAGTATTAAATTTTTTTAATTTTTATATTTAAAATTTTCTAACATTTTCAATTATTCATGTTTTCAATTTGTTTTTATAATACTAAATTCTTATACTTTGATATTAATTATTTTAAATTCCTCCTTTTATATTGAAACTTGTTCCTTCTCCCTAATCTTTCTCCACCTTTTAAATCTAGTTTCTCTTGAAAACGATACGTGCCATTGTTAACTTTTTTAACAAAAATAATTTCAGAATTTTAAATTATATGTTTTAATTTTTTTATATATTTTTAATTACATTTAAACTAATTACATTATTAAACAAGTGAATCAACTATTAAATAATTTTATTAGCTTAACATAAACGCAACTATGAATTTTATTGCCTATAATAATTCTACTTGGTTCAAATATACATGCCTCTCATCTAAATAAAAAAATTAAATATGCATCTAATTCTTATAATTTCAAAAATTTTAATTATTATATTTAAATTTTACCAAAAATAAAAAATATATATTTACTATTAAATTTTAAATAACTTAAATATAATTGTCCATAATGCATTTTTAACATAAACAAATATAAATTTTTAGAAAAAATTGATTAAAA